TATGTAAATTTGAATCCGTTGTTTGGCAGCAGGGGAGCGTTGATAGGCGAAACACAATGAACCAGCACTCAAATATGTCACGTGATCCATCCAGTTCAACTGTATAGCATTGATGGGCTGATGATGATGAAGATTGTGTTTTGAGCCTAACGGCGTCTTTGTTCAGACTTTGTGGGATTGCCGCATTTAATTGCTTTAGGCATTGCCATGGAAATTACATGTGAAGTAGAAGATCTTCTCCCTGCATGCATCACTATGAAAAATACCTACTTATTACTCAATAATCCGTTGCTAATTAATGACATAATTTTAATTTTGTTGCTAATTGAAAAACTAGTGAAAGAAAAAAAATTCCATACATGACACAACAAATCTACAGATAAAATACAATATCCAAGATTGGTTAGATCATTATGGTTAGTGATCCAGAATGAATTTATTGAGGGAGGCTCCATCACAATGAACATGGATTTTAAACGCCTAGTAAACACTACAAAAAAATATAATTAGAGACAGAATATAATATGTAAATTTGAATCCGTTGTTTGGCAGCAGGGGAGCGTTGATAGGCGAAACACAATGAACCAGCACTCAAATATGTCACGTGATCCATCCAGTTCAACTGTATAGCATTGATGGGCTGATGATGATGAGATTGTGTTTTGAGCCTAACGGCGTCTTTGTTCAGACTTTGTGGGATTGCCGCATTTAATTGCTTTAGGCATTGCCATGGAAATTACATGTGAAGTAGAAGATCTTCTCCCTGCATCACTATGAAAAATACCTACTTATTACTCAATAATCCGTTGCTAATTAATGACATAATTTTAATTTTGTTGCTAATTGAAAAACTAGTGAAAGAAAAAAAATTCCATACATGACACAACAAATCTACAGATAAAATACAATATCCAAGATTGGTTAGATCATTATGGTTAGTGATCCAGAAATGAATTTATTGAGGGAGGCTCCAATCACAATGAACATGGATTTTAACGCCTAGTAAACACTACAAAAAAATATAATTAGAGACAGAATTTTTATTTAGTCACGGAATTAGCAACAGAATTTGTTCCGTCATTAATTCTTCCGCCACTAATTGGATTAGCCATGAAATTGAAATCCCATCGCTAATTAACCATGAATTAGCAATGATTTTTCTGTCGGTAGTTACTAACGGAAATTTTTTGTCGCTAATCAGCAGCTAATTAGCGATGGAAAAAATTCCGTTGTTAATCAGTCACTAATTTGATTTTTGAAAAAAAAAAAAGAAGTTAAAATGCCACGTGGAGCCTTCACAAGTCGCCACCTGATCGTTGACGACAACTACTAGCCACATCGACATGTCGCTGCCAACTCACATGCCACCTTATAACCCCAAGTGTTGCCACCAAATAATTCCTTCTCAAAGTGACTTCTTCATGGCTTGAACTCGTAACCTTGTCTGTGTGCGTGTGCAACTTTACCAGTTGAGTTGCAATAAATCTATTGACTTATTATGCAAAATTAAATATATATATATATATAATATTCTTTTACACAAACAATTATATATACATATATATTGTTAAAAACTAAAAACACACTATATGATAATTTTAATCATAACTATTTTAATGACAAAATAATTTTTAAATATTTCTTTTATTATTTATTTTATAATGTTTTATTTTTTAAAAAAATATTTTTGATATAATTTTAATTTTCAATGACACTAATTTTGAATTTTAAATCATAAATAATTTTTTCATAAATATGTTTTTTAAATTTATTTTTAATTAACATTGATAAGATATATAAATTAGTTATAGATGTATTACATTACATTACATTATATTTTTTATTTGTGTCTTATATATTTAATGAAAATCATTTATAATTAGTAATAAAATCTTGTTATTCAAAAAATAGCTGCTGTAATAAAATTTAATAAATTATTCTATGTAAAAAATTGAATGATTTGAATAGATTATGATAAATAATATTCTCCTACTTATATATATATATATCTTATATAATTTATTTTCTTAAAATTCTTTATATATACCATTTGTTTTTACGTTGAAGACCAAAATCAATCTATATTAGGGGTATTAATTATATCATGATTAAATTTTATTGTTTAACGATTGAAATTTAAAATTTACTTCAATATTTGTTTGATTTATAATAATAAATATTATTAATAATTAAGCGGAATTGATTTTAATGAAACATAAACAAATTGTCTAAGAAATTGTCCTCTTATTCTCAGTATATATCTAATGTTAACATGAATGAAGACGATACCTTCATTAATACCAACTCCACAAATATATCAATTTATTTTACAATTAAAAATATATTTAAACCATTATATTCTTAGTTATGTTATTATATAAATTGTTATAAGATTATAATTTAAAATAATAAAATTTAAAATTAGTGACGGATTAGCGAAAAAATAGAATTAGTAACGGAATTAGTAATGGAAACTTCTGTGACAAACAATTTAGAAACGGAATTAGCAATAGAAATTAGAGATAAAATTTTTTCTTAGCTAGTTCCGTCGCTAAAAATTTTATCATTAAAATTAAGGACTGAAATTTTTCACGGTAAAAATTCCATTACTAAATATTTACTGATGGATTTTTCAATGGATTAGCTATGAAATTTAGCAATGGACAAAAATGTCGTTGTTAGTATTAGGGTCAGTAAACTTTCATAGCTAATCCATCACTAAATTTAGCAACAAAATTTTCATCAGTAATCCGTTAGAAAATAATGACAATAATTTTCTCTCACTAATTCTGTTGATAATAAGTTGTTTTTTTTTTAAGTGAAAATATTAAGCCAACAAGAACTCGGAATAAGGTAGCAGAGAAAAAGCTGTTTGTAAAAATGAATAGACTTTTTTACGAGAAGTCAATGGAATTATGAGAAAATGACTTCGATCACGAATAAACTAATAAAACAAAAAACAAAAATACTAAACGAAAAACCACCGACACTCTTCCATGCGACGAGCCTGAAGTAGATGTAAATTGGCAATATCTACAAATGGTCAAAACGAAGAACGGGTTAATTAGTCAAACCCCACCTTTTCCTAATCCTATCATGTACGGATGCATACACCAACCAGGGAAAATAGAAAACAATTTTGTTTTTATTTTTCAATATATTTCCTCCCGTCTTGTATATAAACTTCAAATAGTCAAATCAGATCTAACGAACAAACATTTAAAATTAATTAAAATAATAATAAATTGGTAAGAAATATTTTTTTTCCAAATATGTCCTTATTTATTATGAGAGTAATTGAGAGGGACAATAAATAAATAAATGATGAGAGAGAATACATGGGGTATTATATGCCACTGAGAGGGAGAATGAATTATTGAAATAATTGGAGGGAAATCAACTTAGCCACCTTTCTAATTAATGCTATTCATAGTCATTGGACGAAAATAAAACATTAAATATGATCAACCAAGGAAAAAATTGAAAAAAAAAGTATTAAATATTCAGAGAAAACTCAAAATAAAATTTATAAATTGGACGAAGCCTCTTTTCAAAAGTAAACTTGTATATAGGACGGGAGGGAGTATATACTAATAGGTAATGCTCCCTCCAATCCCAACTATAAAATCCCGTTATGAGGTAAATTTTGATGATATCTCAATCTATTTTATTTCTTAAATTTATAAATTTTTTTCAAACTACTCTTAATAATTTTGATTCCCATATTAAGAGATAGTTTCAAAGTAAATAATTAAATAGGTATTATACAAAAAATTAGTACATATTTTTAAAATTAATTAATTAATTATTACAAATCAATCATCTAATTTTATATTTAGGCTATGGCACAAAGTTTGTATAGAATGTGATGAGCATCCAAAACTCATCAAGTCTAGACTATTTATATTTAATTTGGATAGTTAATATTTTATTTTTTATTTTTATTTTTTAAAAATAATTATGAGCATAAAATCTAAAATAAAAATAATACCTTGATTATCATTTTTTAAAAACATAATTTTATTTTAATTTAGACTATTTAAATTAGATCTAAATAGTTGTGATGTGAGGAGGGGTCGGTGTGTGTACTTTCCAGGTGGGATAGTCCCTTCTGGAACTTTTACGTTGTCATCCTCACGTCTTAGGAATCGTGACCTGAGTCTGTATTATTAAGCAACTTTGAAATTCTGTATCTACCAAAATAAGGGACCTTGAAAGAAAATGATCGCCACTTATATTTGCAATTTAATTTTTTTCCCATAAAAAATAAGTTAGAACCAAGTGGTGCGTGTATGTCGGAAGGATGTACTGTACAAATATTAATTAAAGTATTATATTATATATCACATGGTTGGTGGACAATTTGCTGATTATTTTATAATTTCTACTCTAACCTCCTTCATTGACATATTCTTAATCAGCTATTATTCAAAATAAATAAATGAATCTATTCATTCCCAGCTATTAAGCATTATCCATATTCATTGACCAATCTGCCAAAACAATCATATTGATAAAATTTTCTTATGCAAGGATATATAACGAGTATTTCTAATAAATGCGTGAAAATACTGTAGAGACACATATATGAAAAAAAAAATGATTCGTTTAAAATAACTTCAGCACTGAAAGAAGTTAAACATACATAATAGTAAATTGATGTGTGCCTATTTTTTAAGAAATTTTTTTTAAAAAAATTATACACAAGAATTATTGAAAGAAATCGAAGAAAATGCTATAGAGATTTCCAGTTATCCACATGCATGCAACCAGACCTAGCGATGGAGTTCACACCTAACAACTAGCCTTGACTTTACTTTTTAACATTATCTTATTTGTATTTACCAAAAAAAATATTATCTTATTTATTAAATGAATTTATTGTTCGTGACAAAATATATTGGACTCACAACACCTTAGTACCTACTACTTTCCCTAGTTCTACTATAAATTGGGGCACATAATCTGTGATTTGCATCAACACAAGTTTGAGTTCAGCAATGTTGTCTAAACACTTGCTATGCCTCCTTTTAGGAGCGGTGTTTCTCACCACTTCTACCTTTGCAGATTATTATCAACCTCCCACTTATAAGCCTCCAACAGAAAAACCACCTGTTTATAAGCCTCCTACTAAGAAGTCACCCACTTATAAACCTCCAGTTGAGAAACCACCTGTTCATAAGCCACCAGTTGAAAAGCCACCTGTTGAAAAGCCACCTGTTTATAAGCCTCCAATTGAGAAACCTCCTGTTCACAAGCCACCAGTTGAGAAGCCACCTGTGTACAAGCCACCAGTTGAGAAACCTCCTACTCACAAGCCCCCAGTAGAGAAACCTCCTGTTAACAAGCCACCAGTTGAGAAACCGCCTGTACACAGCCCACCAGTTGAGAAACCACCCATCTATAAACCACCAATTAACAAGCCCCCAGTTGAGAAACCCCCTGTTTATAAGCCCCCAGTGGAGAAACCTCCTGTTTACAAGCCACCAGTTGAGAAACCACCAGTGTACAAGCCACCAACTGAGAAACCACCTATCTACAAGCCACCAGTTAACAAGCCTCCAATTGAGAAACCTCCTGTGTATAAGCCCCCAGTTGAGAAACCTCCTGTGTACAGGCCCCCAGTGGCAAAACCACCTGTTTACACATCACCAGTTGAGAAACCACCAGTTAAAAAGCCCCCAGTTGAGAAGCCTTCGGTTTATAAGCCTCCAGTGAAAAAACCACCAGTTTACAAGACACCAGTTGAGAAACCACCTATGTATAAGTCGCCAATTGAGAAACCACCTGTGTACAAATCCCCAGTTGAGAAACCACCTGTTTATAAGCCACCATCTTATGGTCACTAGTCTCCAACTACGATGAAGCATGAGCTATGTATCTTGCCGTCTTAATCATACCTTGGTATTTTGAAAATAAGATAGCATGTGACCTCTACAACTTGCCATCAAGTGTTCTATAATATTTTGCCAATTATATTTTACATTGCCGTTGTTGTTAAGTATGTATAATGAAATTGTAATATTTATCATTAATTAATAAAATTGTCTATTTTACCCTACTTCCACTTGTTTTTAATTATCTGTATATATTGTTAGCTATAATTCATAACCATTCTCATTTAGAGATATATATATATATATATATCAATGTATTTCAGTGGATGAACAAAGGTGCCCAAGACAAACGAGTTCTAAAATTATCTCTCCCTCCAAATCTGGATAAGGCATATTGTGAAGTATTGATATTTTAAGGAAGTAGTAGGAGGTAACTAAGATAAACATGCTCAAGTGAATATAAACTGGGTCTGCATAATAGGGGAGTGTGTATCTACTGTGGGAGTCAATTGTTGAGAAGAAATTTTATCAACGTTTCTTTATAGCACCTATACAAGACTGGTTTCAGCTTAATCTGAAGTTTAATGATAAACCTATGTTTTTGCATGCATTTTCATATACTTTTGGTGGGTTTTTGTCATTATTATTGGTCCTTAATTGCATCATTTGAATATAATTCATATTAGAGTGCTTTAACTTGAATTAGTACATAATAGGGGTAGAATTAGCATAATTATGATTAATTAATTTTTAATGACAATTAATGTTACCTTATTCTTGAATTTTGGTTATAGGTTTTTGGTAGATTTAAAAATAAAAAAAAAAGAAGAAAAAAATATAAAAAATAAAAAATAATTAAAAAAATAAATAGTAAAAAACGGGGAGCAAAAAACTGCTTTTTGCTCCTACCCTAAAATTTCAGTTGAATCATCATTATCTTCAGCGAGAAGGGACCAGGGGGTTGACGGTGAGAAAAACAAGAAGGACCAGAGTGCTGTGAGACCGAGAGTAATGGACTAGGGGGACTCGATGGTGAGAGCTGGGCCTTGAGTCATTCTCTCCCACCACCACCGTCATCGTCTTCGCTGAGTCTTTCTGGTGGCAGAGAGAGGACGACGTTCTGGAGGTAGGGAGAGATGAGGAGAGACACCGAGAGTGAGGCTTAACGGAACCAGAATGAAGGACCAGAGCTCGACTGAAATCACACCTCCGCCCCTCCATTTTCCTCATTCCCATCAATCCAAATCATCATCTTTCACTTCTATTCGAATCTATCATCACCATCAACTTCATCTTCTCCTTTTCTTTGGTCTGGAGGCAAAGTAACTAGAGAATCAGTGACGACAAGAGAACAGAGCAGAGTCTTCGAGCATCCTCTATTTCCTTTTCGGTGTTCTTCCATGGCAGCCTATAGTAGAATATTGATTATAGCAATTTTGAGGGCAAACCGTGGCTAGCACTCTGTAATTCTCTAATTCAAAAGCAATAGCAGGAGCTTGGATCTTCATAGGGGAGTTTTAGTTACTTTAATTTCCTGTCCACTAGTTTCTTAACAATTTCCAAGTCTTAGGATAGTTTTTCTGATTATTGGAAAATTATTGTTTAATCTGATTATATTTGGAGATTATTGTAGCTGGATTACTGTTTAGCATTTGACATTGGGCTGTTTATAACTTTAATTTCAATTATAATGTTGTGGTTATGACATTTGCATTGACTTTGGAGTTAATATATTGTGATTTTCTGAGGTAGCTTGGAACTTGAATCATATTGTCTCTTGCTAGCTTTAATTCTATTGTTTTGTATTTAAGAGTTACAATTAAGTATTGGTTTTTAGTATCCTTAATTCCATTTTGCTATTTTGGTTGCAGTTAGTAAGTTGGGATTTTTAAAAATATTTTGTGACAATTCGAGGTGGCTTGGTTGTTGGATTAAAAACTTAATTATAACTTTTAATTCATTGTTTTAACTCCTGCATCTATTGAAGTGAGGATTGCCTGCGTTGTTAAGTTGGAGGATTGATTATTATTATTATTGTTGTTTACTTGTGTGTTTCATTTTCATCTCTTTCACCATCATTCATTTTAATCAATTTCATATAAAAACATAAAGAAAACAAATATTTTAATTTCAATTTAATTCATGATATTTAGTTAGCAATTCATCAAAATCAGAAAATCCTTTTTATATTTTAGGTTATTTGCATTTATTTACTAGGATTTAATTTCATTTTTGGCTCCTTAAAGTGAATACGACCCGGATCATACACTAAATTGCATTAAGTCATTAATTTTTGGAGTAACCCTAGGGTGACAAATTAAGGGCATTATTTCAAGTGGCGCCATTGCTGAGGAGCCAAGAAATTGGTTCCCTAGTAATTAAGTGTCAAGTAACCTTGATTGGGGTTCATTTGTTAAGCCTTTTTAGTTTTTATTTTTATTAGTTTTTTGCATTTTTTTTAAGTAGTTTGCATTTGCTTTTGGTTTTTCATAGCACTTCTTTCATTTGCATAAAAAAATTTTCAAAAATACAACCAAATATCTTGATTTTGCTTTGTTTTGCATATAGATTTAGACACTTGCATTTCATTCCATTCATCTATTTTTGCTTGAATCTAGTTGTGCAAGTCAATTTTGCATTTTGCTTTTGATTGATTGATTATTTATGCCAAGAAAGGGTAGGTCTAAAACCCTCACTGCTAGAAAAAAGGCTTTTAATAGCAGTTTTGGAGGTAAGGTGGATACAGTCGACGTTGAAAGGTAAAAAAACATGGCGGTTGAAAACTGTCATGGAAAGTTAACTTTCCACGATGGTTTTTTACATAACTTCTGTTATAGGCTCATTTTCCACAGCGGTTTAATTAATAACCACCACGAAAAATATTTTTAACAACGGTTATTAAAATAACCACCATTAAAAACTCAAAAAAAATTTTATAATACCGCGTGACTTTCTTTTTACCTCCCTACAGTTTATAGTTCCAAATAAATGTAGGCAACTATGCAAAACAAGACCATATGACCATCAACTAGCTAGTTAACATATACAGTAAGCATTGAAATTTCTTTTAACACAGGCACAAAAGCAAAATAGAGAGGCAAAGTAGAGTCTACATCTTCAAAGAAAAGTAACAATTGAATTCTGTCTGTACAATAGAAGTAAAGAACATATATAGGAACTAAGGGAAAAAATCTAACAAGGAATTTTTTTAGGAATGACCTAACTATTTCAAATATGCTCAAAATTCTGGAGCAATATTGTTGACAAAGTGTCCCTCATCAAGTTGATGTCATCCATAGGATATGACGCAACATTTTGAAATACCAATAAATAAATCAAAAATAACATAGTGAATTTAATCAAAAATGTGAAATGAATTGAAGAATGACATGCAATGTAATTTATCTTTACCTCGTCTAATTTCTCAGTCACCCCTGTCTCAATGATGTCATTCATGTAGCGGATGACATAATATCTATATTCAACACGCCTTTGTTGACAACGGTACTAACAAAATGAAATATAAAATTGAATATTAGACTTTGATTATAAACATTAACTTTAATTATTGAAAAATATTTAAAAGTATATATTTAGCTCAAAACAGCACTCTTGGGAGAATCCATGTTGGTGGTTGTCTATTTTGCTTAATCACCACAACATTAAAATTATGAAAAGCCCTATCAACAGTATTAAAAATTGATATTATAGCATATTTTTTGTAAACTTCACACGTAATAAATATATAAACATAAACTAACATGTCGATGACATCTTTGGTTTCTTCAGATGGACTTCCATAAAGGGAATCGAACCAATAGACTTTGTTATCAAAAGGGACATAAACAATCAGAGTCTAATGATAACTACAAAATATGAACCATATTAATTATAATCTTATACATACAGCTTGTGTATCTCAAATACAATAATAGACTTACCCTTCCACGTAAGATGCAAAATACATTTGCTTTCTCATCTGAGCCATTGTGGTCATCATGTAGATCGACCTCACTTCCACAATATTATGCTCTTTCTGCACCCTTTGAGAACACATAAAATCATATGTTCCCTCAAGTCCTCTATTCTGACAGATTTGAGTAAAGTGACTGTTGTTCAAGTAAGAAACATTAGGACATGCATAAAGTATAACATGAAATAAGAAAATGATATTGTAACTTACAAAATAGCCAGCTGTATGAAGACTATATCCAGCTCCTCAAAGATGAGGAACTAAATGAGGTCTTTCTTGTCAATGGTGAATTCGTATGTTATATCCGAACCCACAGTCCCCACTGGCATCTTGAAAGTAATGGGCTTATTCATGTTTGCCACTACGAAATGAAGAACCTCCAAACTAGAATATATAAGTGCAACATCACCAGGAAGAGGTCGGAGTACAGAATCTGATGATGCCCTCTTTGTGGCCTTCTTCACTGTTGCCTTTTTCACCACTGGCTTTGCAATAAGTTTCTTTGGCCACAAAATGAAATGTCCTTTAGCCTGAGCAAGTAGTTGAACCTCATCAATAGGATTAGGCACTGGTGTACCTGTATCCACCGTCACCCTTGCTTGATCACTCGGAACTTTCTTGCCGTAGATCATTATGCACAAGAATGCTTGACTATTAGCAACATGAACAGCTGAATTTTCATAATCCACATAGAGAGCACATGGCATTCCATTGTCTTTGACAGGGTCAGGGCTAGGTTAGGGTCAGACACTATCAGTTGCCGTGTCTGATTATTACTGCCTTCCCACTTTTCATCATAGGTAAACCCTGAAACATTATATGAAATTAGTTAAGGCACATTAAATAAGTTTAAATAGATCAAATGAACCTTTAGAAGATTTGAAAAGATGTGTGATTATTACTTGGGAAGGTTCAGACACTCGGGGCATCTGGAATCTAGTTATGCCCATCATCATCATTACCTGTTGAAACTTGGCATCAAATTCCTCACGTATCTTTTACAACTCTGCCATGTGTTGTTCACTAAGTTTAGCTCAAA